TTGTAGCTTGTCAACGAAAACAGCAATAAATATAATAGAATACTCTATTGATAAGATAATTTCCTTCCTTTCAATTTTAGTCAGACTAGCAAAAAGTGTTTTCGCGGCGTAACGATTCCAGATATAGGAATGCGTGACAGGAGCCATCATGTGATATCAGTTTTGTGTACACAGCGAAGACGACTCGATCGGATCAAGCGCTGTAAACAGGTACACCTGTAGTATTAATGCGCTCGGCTTAAAGGCTTTCCTTTCCTACATGATGTTCTATTGTGTCAAAAGTCACAAAAAGTTTAAAATACTTGATACATTTGATGAATTATTGTGTTATTCGGGCTTTGCATTAAGACCTTCCATCGTGTATTGTCATAACGGAAAATAGGCATATTTCGTCGATCGGCTGTGCTGATAAATCGTTAAAATCACAACATATTTTTATGTTTCTATGTTTTTGGACATTCCCTTTGTTGGTCTGAAAAGACCCTTTGTTTAGAAGATGTGGGGATTTTGCACAGTGCTACGATGAAAATATGCATTTTTGAGTCATTTCCTGCGTACGGCAAAGTGGGCGTAAATCAAAAAATATTTAGTAGACACGAGTTGTTTTTGAAGGACCAAAATTGTGTCCTTTACATCATTTAAGGACCAATTTAATCCTATGAAGTGAAAAAAGTCGTTGAAAGTGCAAAACTTTGAAGTGGTGAACTCGGCAATATGCGCTATTTTTACTCTTTTGTCACTGCAAAAATTTGACCGCCGAGTGCTGAAGTGATTTTCCTCCCGAAAAATTTTATTTTGAAATATTTTCAAAAACTAATGCGGTTTCAATTACTTTTGGACTAAGATATATTCATGGGCAAAGTTTAAAGGAAATTGATTTTCCGACCCGAAACTCAGTGGACCGGTTTTAGGGAGACTCACTCTTAAGTACAATGTCTCAACAATTTTGTCACCGATTGTTGCTGCATTCCTCAAAGGAAGCAGGTTGCCAGACATATTTTTATTCTGAACAAAAGTGCACACGAGCAAAATATATACGTATTCAAAGGTTGGCGGAGAAATGCTAAACTGCTTTTTTTCACTTTAGCGAAGAAGAGGCGTCTCACCTTATCTTTACCTTGTCCTAGCTCTTTGTAAACATTGAACTTATCTCCGTTGTCGCTGTACTGTAATGTGTAATGTGTGACCCACGTGCTGTTAGCATTGTCTCCTTGAGAAGCAATCTTTGCTACAAGGGTACGCTCTTGACTGCCCAGATCTATTTGCAACCATTGCTTAACATCATTGGTATAAGGTGACCACGATCCTACTTTATTTGAAGTTGTTATAGCCTTTAGTCTGCCGTTGATGGCTGCATGCTCGGCATCCAGTTGCGAAGAAGCGATGACTTGCCCGTTGGAGATCTCTCCGTCTCCCATACCGAGAGCTTCTTCACATTCTATTGAATAAAAACAAACAACGACGGCTCTCGAATAGCACTCGTCTTTGACGGGGTAATCTGGTTTTGACATTAACCGATGCACCTGGTTTTGATGAACGTAAAAGGTAATGATGATGACGATGATGTGTTCCTAATGATTGTAGCAATACTCATCACCATGTTTTTGTTTGTTTGTTTTTATGATGATGATGATGATGATGATGATGATGATAATGATAATGATGATGACGATGATGATGGTGGTAATGGTGGTGGCAGTGTTGGTTGCAGCGGTGGCGATAATTATTTTAAAACTGAAGATTATTTATATAATAATTACATATAATAATTACATTTAAAAAATGCTGCACAAACTTGGTTTAAGGCGTCCGATTTACTATTTGCAACGACATTTTGATTCACAAGCTCTAATCCGCAAAAGTCAATAGCTTTCGGGTTGGATTGATAGCAATCCAAAAAATTGTAAACAATGGCTTATTTTTAACGCTACACTTGAGGGGGGAAGTGAAACGTAAACGATCAAGATACAAACCATCACAAATGATGGTGTTGGCATCCGCACTCCATGATCCACCAATCCCGCAACGAGCAGATGAAGGACCGCTGACTTGATATCCACGGGCGCAGTTAAAAGAGCAAATCTTTCCATGTGGGTGAGTTGGTAAACGACAATCAGAAGGTGAAACAAGCACATCATCCCGCAGTGAAGGTTTTCTGCACTTAGTTTCTTTTTAAGATAGACAGAGTGTAAAAGAGAAGCAATGTCAAATCCTTTTAGTGCTTTTTACCGGGAACTTTATTTATTTATTTTGAATTTATTTTTGCTGGAAAAGTACTTTACAGTGAATCTAACATTACTTGATGATTCCGGAAACGTCATGATTAGTATATGAGTGGGTCGCTCCGGTTGTAATTAATGGACCTTGCAATCAAGTATTAAATTTTCTGTCTTCTTTTTATTGCATTTCTTTCAAGTGAGTGGTACCGTTTTAAGATTTTTAACTGGCACCTCTATACAATACACACGAGCATAATCTGGAAAAAGATTCTAACCCTTCCAGAAACACATGATGTTTTCTTGGAGTTACTTACCTGCCGATATTGTGCAAAGGTACCGATGGTGATGACGACAGTCTCTATTTTTCAGTTTCCCCTTCGAATTTATCTCTACACAATCTCCCTCGCCCGTCAAACTATCCAATTGACTGCGTAATTCATGAACGTAACTAGCTTGTGAACCACTGACCAAACCAACCCCACTTAAATTGTGACTGGGATTCCTGAGCAGACCAGTCCATGCGCTTTGTGTTAGAAATGAGCCAAGGGCATCTTGTTCAGCACGTGAAGTCACCATAGGAAGACTAGATTCAATTGCCTTACAGGCCGATTCTGCCGCGAACCAATCCAGTGCGTAAGAAGAGGCTCTGTAGCAGGAACCGAGGATTTGAATCCAGTCCTGGGGGCAACCTGCGAAAGACAAGTAGAGACCTTTAGATTCTAAGACGAGTACGACTACGAGTACCAGATTTCCTCAATACTCAGTAGTGCGCGCGTGTGAACCAGCGTCAGTTTGGCGGGAAACGTGACAGTCGTCGTCATTCTAGTACGAGTTAGTGTGTTAGCGGTCACAATTGAGTTATAAAATGTTATAGGTTTTATTATTTTGCAGCTGGGAGTTTAACCTCATTCAATAAAGATAACAGCGCTAATGTTTTGGTGAAAAAGATGTAGAATGAAGCTATCCACGGTGTCTATTATTTGAGAATACGCGAAAAAACTTTAAATGAAATCTCGTACTCGTAGTCGTTCTCGCCTAGAATATAAAGGTCTCTAACATTTCTGAAATGAACGAATATTATCGTAAGCAGAGGAATCAAAAGTTGTTGTCGCTGATTGCTGGTATTTTTGTCGCTGAAAAAGAAAAAGATTTTCGTTTTATTATAATACAAGAAGTCTACCTTTTTTACCTTTATAAGAAATATCCAGATTTATTGGGATCTTAGATAAACCGTACAATCATTGGAAGTACTGTTTACACATCAAATTTACAATTTACTTTACTTTTTGATTTTACTTATTATCATAGAAAGTTGTGTTACCGTTGATTTCACAAACGTAATAATGAGATTTCCCACACCCTTGGTCATTCCATGTTCCTATGTGAGGGTTCATTACAACACAATCTTCGTTGCCTCCGTGATTGTTCGGCTCTCCACTCAACCAGTAGCTATAAAAAGCGCCAGACCCATCAACCCATTTCCAGCTTGAATGGTTCATGAGATCTCGCTTTAAGCCAATCCACGTCTGGCCCTTTGTTCTTTTGATCAGCTCTCCTATTTCATCCAACGAGTTCAGTATAACTAAGCTTGATCCCTGGTCGTTACAGGCGGACTTCGCTGAGTTCCAGTCCAGTTGGTTGGAAGATATTTTATAGCATGAACCATGAAGGCTGAGTATCCATCCTACTGGACATAGCGCTGAAAGATACAGTCAAAGTAAAACTAATTCATTACGGAGTCTGAGAAAACGGTCGATTTACCCCACCAATGGTTTCCCCGAGAAGTGAAGTCTGAAGAACGACTGTAGAAATTCCACACTGATGATGTGTCATTTCGCAGATCTGGGTAGTGCTTCTGACTGGCTGAGGCAAATTTCGTTTGCGACAACCTATGAGAAGCACTACCCAGCTCTGGGTAGTGACACGTGATCAGTATCGAATTTCTGCAGGCGTCATTTAGCCGGAAAACCAGTTGTGGGGTCACAAAATGTCGGCTAGTTTAGGTTATTCAACACTAAGCCGGTCCTTTTTTCGAGAGCAATCTCAAAATAACACTGAATCTTTTCAGTCTTTTCCTTGACCATTATACTTGCAGACAAGGAAAACTGGAAACTCCGCGAACATATTCTCCACTGTGATCTCCGTTCATTTCCATATGATATAAGAACAAAGTAGTTTCCCTTCGGTGATCATATATATTTTCATAACCTTTCTCTTGACTGTGTATTGAATTATAGATGTTGATTTTTGTATTCACTTACCAGGCGCGTTAACATCTTCCGCAAAAATTATTTCGAATCCTCTTTTGTTAGGATCAAATACCTCATCGGAGTGAAATGTCAACACCAGATAGTCTCGTGAAACAAAAATAACTTTTCCCGTTAGGTCACCGCAGTATTGGCCAATAAAATTATCACCATCTGAAATGTTCAAGTAGTCGAATCTGCGAAGGAAATATTCAGCATTTACGGGTTGGCAATAAACAAATTCCTTTTATATGCTTCTGTTCAGGATACATATCTGTATGGTGATGACACTTTTGTTGGTTTTTCAACACAAAAATGACGACCGTTTCGTGAACTTAGCGTTTTCAGCGGAAAGATTGGTATCCTTGCATCCTCGGAGACCCAGGGGCAGATAGTGGGGGCGAGGGATAGTCTAAACGGGCGGAAAAATGTGGCACGAAGAAAAGTAAAGAACGGCGAGAAGAGCCCCTGGGGACACTGTCTTACCAGACCAGTTCCAAACGGTCGCCGCCGTTCTGACTTCTGATTGGTGCCAGAAAACTTTTGTTTTTCTGCCCGATCAGAAGGCAGAACGGCGACGACCGTTTGGAAGCTTCGATGTGTAAACACTTCTGGAAAGAACCCATAAATCCATTAGGTCCCACCTTTCATGGTTTATACTTTTCAAGCGACAACGTTTTTTCAGTCAGGTATAGACAAACATGTTCTATGCTGAAGATAGTCAAGTTTATGTTTCTATCAACCTTAAACATCCGAATTATGATGTTCTTGTTACCCTTCGGCTATGCGTATTGCTCCGCAAGCTAATCTGGTGATGAGATCAATTAATCGGAACATGCGAAACTATCTTTCGTATAATGGACTTAAAATGTCATCTCTTGATCAGATACCTATGACATACCTAATGGAATACTTAAGTTTAGAGAAAAAAAAATTGCACTAGCTTTCAGTTGAGAAGAGGATTGAATTGAAGATTCTCCTTGAAGACAAGACTGCAGACTGAAGCCTCACGTTCACTACTCTGTCGGCAAAGAGCTAGAACTGACAAATATGGTAATAGAGCTTTTGGCTACCGCAGGCCTTTACAGATTATATGGAAAACGGGCTTAATCAACAAATAGTACTCTCACCTGCATTCTTGATCAAACGCCAGTTCAAATATTTGAAACGTAAGCTTTTGCACCTTGCCATGTGGAAGTGAAATATTATAGACGCAGTGCATATTTGGTGGATAACTTTGTGCGTATACAGGGGATCTCAGTGTATTGTCCATCGCTGAACCACATAGGTCTGCCAAAGAAAATAAGAGATAATCGAAAAGTATAAGTTTATTTCTTTTCTATCTGTAAGTGTGTACATTTTTAATGATTTGCTCATATATTATTACAAATATAGCAACCTTTATTTTTGCGGGAAAAAAAGAGCAAAATAAAACAAACAACAACAATTGTAACCAAAAAAATTCAAAATAACCTTGAATTGCTTTTTTACGTTAAAGTCGAAAAAGGAAGGTGCCAGTTTCTGCAAAAGTCTTTGAACTTCCGGTTGAAAGTTTCAACGTCCGTTATGCTTTGTGTCCTCATGCCTTTTCTGGCCTTCATCTTGGTTTGACTTGCTACTTGATTTTGGCTCTCTGCGATGCCTTCCATGAGGTCACCTGGAAAGCGACCTTTTTTCATATTTTAATCGAGTATCTGGCATTGAAGTGACATTTATTCCTATGTACAACAGAACCGTCCGACCTTTCTTAGAACTTTTAAAAAACTCATACTGGCTGACCAAAGTTTGCCAAACCCATTGAGCACTTTTTCTAGCATATGGCTCCGAGGCAAACAAAGTTTAAACTAGTAATAACCAAAGGTTAGGAAGTGAGGGCGATAACGATCGCAGGTCCAAACACTCAGTTGCTCCAACGCTGTGCTTTGCCTACGTTTCAGTTGACAGATGGTCAAAACATGCACGGATCAGATTACAAGGAGTAGCAGGTCGAAACGCGCGTGATCAAATCCGTTTTGAGCATTCCATCCATTCTTAGTGGAAGTCCAAACGAATGCTGGCTACATACATGTGACGCATGCGTAATAACAACCTGGAGATTAGGATTGCGGGCTCCTCTTGTCGCCCACAATAGTATAAAGCATCAAATGTTGTCATAGCGAATTTGGATACAAAGTGCAGAAAAACAGTTTTTTAAAAAAGTAACACTCGTAGAGAAAGTAGTTGGCATATTGTTTCCTGATAAATTTCAGGGTTCTAAATTGCCCTTAAATTCGAAGGGGTTTGTGTTGGGTCGTTTTAAAATTTTAATTGACCAACGCCTCCCGCCTTCCAAACCTAAAGATGATTTAAACAGTCATCAAATGTGGCCAAAATAAAATGGGTCTAATCGGAAACAAGAAAATTTGCAGAAAGACCCAAAGGATCACTAGTTTTCAAAACCTCCACTAGGAGGGAAATTTTCACCTGTCAAATTTAAAGCCCATCAGGAACTATTTATTTTGAGAATTATTTCCCCGAACAAATTGATATATCACGCTTGGGTCGATCCTTGACTGGACTCACCACTTCGAGGTAATTCACTGAAATGCAATCTGAATCCACGCTTTTCTTTCTTAACGTCATCTGAGTAGAATTTAATCACTGTGTAATTCCCGGCAACCATCACTGCCAAATTGTACGTCAAATTACCGCAATATCTACCAATCAGAACGTTGCTTTGATGGTAAATGCTCAAATATTCCTTCCTACAAGAAAATAAAAAATCCAGGCCCGATGAAACAGTAAAACCGTTTGGTTCTTCTACAAAAAACAAATTTTATTTTGGTGACGAACTTGCTTTGATAACCTACGCAAGATTACATATTTCATTTATTTGCTTTGTTCTTGCATTTTGCCCACAAAAGTCCGTATCTGGTCTTTTTTAGATAACTTTGTAATATTATTGCGGTCTTATGTTGTGTACATTGCAGCCGGGTAAGCTTCTTCGCTTCTAATGCAGGAGTATCTAACTACTTCTCTGCTAGATTATTAACGCCCATCGCTTTGGTCAACAATTATTTTTCCATGAAAAAGTAAGGGACGATCTATCTTGTTTGGCTTTGTCTTGCCGAATTAATATACAAAATTGTTCAATAACTTGACGAATTAGTAAGACCATAAACCTCTGGAAAATGTTCAAGCGAGCGTAGAAGGTGTTTGAGGTAAGGCAGAGTGGTTTACCTCTACTGTTTTGACTGTTGGAAGAAAAGTCACAAGAGAAGCAGAATAACAAGTCTGTCTGTATGTTTACTTAAAAGGAAATAAAAATGAAAATTCATTTAAGAATACACGTCTCTTGACAGACTGGTGTATTAATAACTCCAGTTCGCAGGTGCCATAGTCTCTTTTTAAAGAGTCTTTAAGTCTTAAGCTTTAGCTTTTGCCCACTTTCTCTTTTCATAAATTATGGGTACATATGCACGAGAAAAAATCGAAGTTTGAAATACACAGTTCTCTGGAGTATTATCGCATGACCTACTTTAAGAAAACAAAAAAAATATACGCGGAAGAGGTCTATTGACAAAAGTAAACTCGACCTGCGCTTAAACTATACCTAACCCCAATTCCCCAATGGAACTATCAAATAAAGGCCGTTTAGTGGAGGCCGGTGTCTGTTAGCAGAGATTCAGCTCTATAGTACTGATTTTAGATGGATATGGCTCGAGGACTTTACATCCCTTTTCTACTTCACATTTAAATCGCCTACCCACAATTCCACCGAGGTTTGATGTCGAATGATGCAAAGGTTACATTCAGAATTTTTCCTGCTGGAATTTCCCAAGTCCAAGTACAGTCCATGTTTCTTGGATAGTAGTTTGGATATCCTGGACTTGTTAGTGTAGTATTGTTTACTACTGAACCGCATTCTGCAGAATCAAATGCACAATTTCTAATCATTTCTTATTTCTAGCAATTACTAGTCGGATTAATAGTACATTAGCATCTTAGATATTAGATTGTTCCTTAGCAGTTTAACTCTCAAAGTTTGTCTAGGGCTAGCTAGGTTCACACCCTCGGGAAATTTTTCCGAATTCATTACGAATCCGAATTTTCAGTTTCGGATAAGTTGATGCAGGTCAAACACCTACGCATTCGAATCCCCCCTTTTTTTTCCTTACAGAGAAAATCCCCAAAGTTGTTGAGGCCGGCCTCCCCTTCCTGTGAACGAGGTTGCAAGTATACCGCTGATTAACCGCAGCAAGGGTCCAAAAAGGGTGACTCATATTGCCCCTTAACAAAAATTAAATATCGTAATGTCTCATGGGGTTAACAACATTATTTTTATTCGTTACATTTCGTAATCATGGCAAATAATCTAAAATAATAAATTCATTTTCTGAAGCATTTTGGCTCACATCACCATGTTTTACTTAGGCTTTCCTGTACTTAACAGAATGAGAGAATATGAACTACTCCTACCTGAATTTCCTTCAGCTGTAATGCTGCATAGCATTAGAAACAACACAAAAAGAACCTCCATTTTCCTGTTAATATAAAAAGTGAAATGGAATTAGTCATATTCGTCATTTCAGCAGGGTTGGACAACGAAAAAACATTGTGCTGACAACTAAAATGGATGAAGACAAGAAACCTCTTTTATTGCTCAGTGAATCTTATAGGTTCAGGTGCTTTACCACTGGATCTTAAAGGCTTTGAAGACTGATAGCGAGGAAATGCTAATTGCTAAAGCCTGTCCAATTAAGTGGCTGCGTTCATCTTAAGCATGGACGTCAGTGGGGCCATAAAGGACATGTTTCAGACTTTTTCCAAGTAAATTATTTTCATGACTTACCAAAATTGAACAAAGTGCTTCTTTGATAAAATTTCTGTTTTTAATTTAATTAACATTGCCTTCCAAAAACCATTTACCCATGTCTTAAGTAAAAGATAATATGTAGCAGCCTTATTTTAAGTCAAACATAATTTATTATTGATCGTTTTCTGTTATTCAAAAAGAACCTCCATTTGCCTGTTAATATAAAAAGTGAAGTGGAATTAGTCATATTCGTCATTTGGTGGGACAACGAAAAAACATTGTGCTGACAACTGAAATTAAATGGATAAAGACAAGAAACCTCTTTCATTGCTCTGTGGATCTTATAGGTTCAGGTGCTTTACCACTGGATCTTCAAGGATTTGAAGACTGATATCGAGGAAATGCTAATTGCTAAAGCCTGTCCAATTATGTGGCTGCGTTTATCGTAAGCATGGACGTCAAGTTATTTTCATGACTTACCAAAATTGAACAAAGTGCTTCTTTGATAAAATTTCTGTGTTTAATTTAATTAACATTGCCTTCCAAAAACCATTTACCTATGTCTTAAGTAAAAGATAATATGTAGCAGCCTTATTTTAAGTCAAACATAATTTATTATTGATCGTTTTCTGTTATTCAAAAAGAACATCTGAGAGTCACATCCGCGTAGATCTCCTCAGAATACATGTGCTTCCTTGTCAAAATTTCTGTTTTCAATTTACATAAAATTTTCTTCCCAAAAAAAACATTTTCCATATCCCAAGCCGTGAGTGAAAAATAATATGTATACGTAGCAGCCTTAAACATAACAAAAATATTCTATGATGAAATTAAATGGCAAACGGTTTTTGGGTTTCTAAGAATATCAATCAATTTTGCCCCTCGACTTTACACTAAGATGTCTCTGTCTCAATTCGTGTACACTGCATGTGACTGGCTCAAAGCAGTGGGTGGCAAGCTAATAAGGATGGCTGTGTGGGGAAGATCGTTGGAGGTCAATACTCTGGGAATTTCAATAACCTATGGGTGTGGCAACCAGGTCTGGACAAGCTCACGCATTTTGAGAATTGAGAAACTGATTACCTTCAACATAACTTATCTGTGAACTGATTTAATACAAATCCCCTCTTGCACTGGTATGTTTTACATACTTGACTAGGAATTTTTTTTCTTGGCGAAGAATCTGTCAGCTTTTGAAACCAGATGGGGGCGGAGAAAAGGAATCAAACATTTTCTCTAGGAGTACGATTGACGCAGTCTGTATCGGTTGCAAATGCTGGTGAAATTTTTTAGCGATCTGAGATCTGAGTAACTTGCCAAGCCGATCAATAGCATTTTTGACGGCGAAGAAAAGTGATAGAGTCGGTGCAGACGAAACGAAAAACCAAATAATTCCATCCAAAACAGTTATCACGTACGAAGAAGGG